TTCCTCCCAAACAGAGCCAACACAGACCACATTTTCGCCACACACTGACCGCTATTTTTTTCCAACACCCATTTGTCGGTACTCTTTCCAAGGCTCCGGTCCCCCTCCCCATCCTATCCCCCTTCGCCGTGTCCCTGTCATAAACCCTTGCCTTTCGTTGGTGACTATCAGTTCTTCCTTTTTCCCTTCTTTATATTTTTTCTCACTCTTCGTGTTTCCTTTGTTTTATACTCGCCTCCTATCTTCTTCCGTTTCTGTTTTTTTTTTTCACCCTCTGTCATAGCCTTATTTTTCTCCCGCTCCATCTTCCTGCCATCTCCAATCTCCTATCTCTTCCTCCTTCTCCTTCTTCTCTTCCTCCGTCTACTTCTTCTGATCTTTCCCCCTCCTCTTCTTTCTCCCTGTTCCTTCTTTTTTTTGCCCGCCTCCTTATCTCCTCCTCCCCCTCCATCATCACCTCCGCTTCCTTTCTCTCCTGGTCTTCTAACTTAAATGAGAACAAAGAAACAAACGTTTGCAGTGCGTGGTAAATAATAATAATAAAAAATCGTTTTGCGGCTCGGAGTTCGTACAATCGTGTGACTCAAGTTTGATCTTTTGTCTTTGTCTCCGGCTATCTCTTCTTTCACCACGGACTCTCTTTCTCTCTCTCTCTCTCTCTTTCTCAATTCATTATAACCAGGTGGTCACTCGCCCTCGCACATGCATCCCCGCCTCTGTTACTCATGTTCGCACGTACCCTCGGTTCACACACACACCACACACACACACACACACACACACACACACACACACACACACACACACACACACACACACACACACACACACACACACACACCAACACGCTGCCCCCCTCCCTCCCCACTCCCTTCCCCATCCTTACACACGCCCCCCCCCCCTCCACACACGCACGCACTCACATAACACATTTCTTCATTCCGGGAGTTCCTGTTTGCAGAGGGACATCAATCTGCGACATCTCTGTGAAAGGGAGACGCGGCGAGGACGTGGCTCTGCGGCGCGGCAGGAGATTTGCCGGGACGTGTTACTCGAGTGACTGGGACGAAGGGGAGAGTGGGAGAGAAAGAAGAGAAAGAGAGAACGAAGAAGAATGAGAGGGAGAGAGAAAAAGAGAGGACGGGGAAGTTGGAAAAAGAGAAACGGGGAAGAGGGAAGAAGAGAGAACGAGGAAGAGGGAAAATGAAAGAAAAAGAGAGAACGAGGAAGAGGGGAAATGAGAAAACAAGAAAGAGGGAAAAAAACGAGAGAGAAGAAAAATAAGAAAACGAGAAAGCCGGAAAATGAGAGGAGAAAGAGGGAAAATGAGAGAACGAGGAAGAGGAAAAAAAGAGAACGAGAAAGAGGGAAAATGAGAGAACGAGGAAGAAGGAAAAAGAGAGAACGAAAAAGGGAAAAAGAGAGAGCGAGGAAGAAGGAAAAAGAGAACGAGGAAGAGGGAAAATGAGAGAACGGGGGAGGGAAAAAGAGAACGAGAAAGAGGAAAATGAGAGAAACGAGAGAGGGGGAAAAAGAGAAGGGGAAAGAGGGAAAAAGACAATTAGAAAGAAGGAAACTGAGAGAACGATAAAGAGGGAAAATGAGAGAACGAGAAAGGGGAAAAAGAACAACAAAGGAAAAAAGACCGAGGAAGAGGGAAAAAGAAGGGACGAGGAAGAGAGAGAGAGAGAGAGAGAGAGAAGTAGAAGTAGAAAGAAAGAACGAAAGAAGATATATATACATATATATAAAGAGTGCGAGTGCGAGTGCGAGTGTGAGTGTGAGTGTGAGTGTGAGTGTGAGAGTGAGAGTGAGAGTAAGAGTAAGAGTAAGAGTAAGAGTAAGAGTAAGAGTAAGAGTAAGAGTAAGAGTAAGAGTAAGAGTAAGAGTAAGAGTAAGAGTAAGAGTAAGAGTAGAGTAAGAGTGAGAGTGAGAGAGAGAGAGAGAGAGAGAGAGAGAGAGAGAGAGAGAGAGAGAGAGAGAGAGAGAGAGAGAGAGAGTGAGAGAGAGAGAGAGAGAGAGAGAGAGAGAGAGAGAGAGAGAGGATAGAGAGTAGTAACGAACACCAAGAAACGAAGGGTCCGGCTCCTTGCACCCTACATGCCGCAGCGCCGAGGATACCGCCCGGCTCGTGTGTGGGGCGTGCTTAACCTGGTTATATGACTTATCAGGAGGATATACATCCCATACTAGTGACGAGGAAGGAGGGGGGAAGGGGAGAGGGGAAGGAGAAGAGAGGGTAGGGGAGAGGGGAAGGGGAGGGGAGGGGAAGGGAAGGGGAAGGGAGAGGGGAAGGGAAGGGAGGAGGAGAAGAACGGGCGTGGTGACACGCTGTTCTTTGAAGTCCCAGAGTGTGCGTGTGAGCGTGTGTGGATTCTGTAGGCGTGTGTGAATTCACCTGTACTGACAGCTGTCGTATGAAAGAAACATAAAATGGATTTAAAGTAATGATTGCAAAATTTTCCTTTCAGCCTCGCCTTTCTATACCTTCAGAGAATAAATTTACGTGAAGTCGAATATTCTATCCAATTTTACTGATTACATCAAAAGAGGGACCTGCAGGGACTTCCCCATTAATGCTCGTAATCACTTTTGTTAATTAGTTCGTTATAAAACGAACTTTTTTTTTCTTGGTAGCATTGCGATGTGCTTTATGGACTTTACTGGGTGAAAGGAAAGAAGTCAGGCTCTCTCCCCCTCCCACCCTCTTAGCATCCATCTTCCTCGTCTCCCAGTGCCTCCCTCGCGCACATGAGCTCCGCATGACAGCTCGTGACGTCACCGGGCCTTGCACACCCCACGCCCCGCTGATCCCCCGTGGAAGCCCCCGGATGAAAGCAGCCTCTCCATGGTATTATCAGGAGAGCAGGAGGACAATGAGGCCAAGAAGGGAGGGAGAAAGGAAGGATTGGTGGAGGGAAGGGAGGAAGGAAGAGAGGGAAGGAAGGAAGGAAGGGAAGGCGAGATTCGATCTGGCGGAGTAGAGTATAGGAGAGAGAGAGAGAGAGAGGAGAGAAGAGAGAGAGAGTGAGACGGTGAGAGAGAGTGAGTGAGTAAATGCAACGAAGAAGAGAAACGCAAGAATCAAACGAGGAAGAAAAATGCGCATTTGCGTACAAGAGGACACACGAGGAGGAAAATGCAGTGAGGGTTACGCGGAGAGGAGCAAAGGAGGAGGAGAAGTAGCAAGCAGGAGGTGGTTGGTTATATTACAACTTCACACAATCCTGCTTTCAAAACGCTGGTTGGCCGTCCTCCCTCGGGAGACGCAGGTACTCGAGGAGTGCGGCCATGCTTTGTGTGGCGGAGGCGGAGCGCTGCCGGGGGACGCTTAACGAGGTGTGTTTACATGTGTATATATATATATATATATATATATATATATATATATATATATATATATATATATATATATATATTATATTATAATATATATATTATATATAATTATTATATTATATATATATATATATTATATATTATATATATATCTATATATATATTATATATTATATATTATATATATATATATTATATATATTATATATATATACACATTACATATATACATACATACATATATACATACATACATATATAAACATATACACATATACATACATACACATACATACACATATATACATATATACATATATACATATATACATATATACACATACACATATACACATATACACATATACATACATACATACATACATACATACATATACATACATATACATACATATACATACATATACATATACATACATACATACATACATACATACATACATACATATATATAATATAATATATATGTATGTATGTATATTATTTATTTATTTATTTATTTATTCACACACACACACACACACACACACACACACACACACACACACACACACACACACACACACACACACACACACACACACACACACACACACACACACAACACACACATAAATGTGTATATGTATATATATATATATAATATATATATATATTATATATATATATATATATATATATATATATATATATATATATCCCTCTCGTATGTCATGAGGAAATATCAATATCGATTAAATGAATATCCACGTCTGTCATTCTGTTTTCCCATGGATAATTATATTGTCGAGCCATGATTTGTCTGCGGTCGACCGCCGTCATATCATGATTGGTTTATCAATGAATTATTCGGCGGCCTTTTCCAGAGCTAATGTTACTACCTCTGCCTAACTGAAGGTGTGTATTTGTGTTAGTAGACGTCGGTGCGTGAGGTTCCTTGTGTACGTCTGCAACTCCGAGGGGACTCTTTGACTGCGGGACCTGCTTCCCTAAGTGCCATTCCTCGACGTTCTGGTGTGTCGTTGGGAATCGTACGTCGTGGAGAGTGGAGCGTCAAGGGGAGTTGTGCGTCGGCGGGAGTTGTGCGTCGCCGGGAGTGGTACGTCGTCGGGAGTGGTGCGTCGCGGGGAGTCGTACATCGTCGGGAGTGGTGCGTCGTCGAGGGATTTCCCTCGAGCGGCGCTGGTTTATGAATTGGGTCGCCTGTGGGAACCGCCTCCGCCGTAAATATCGAGTTTCTGGCCTCATCGTGGCAGGTCACTCTTCGTCCTACCACGCACATCCTTCCTTGACCATCGACGTTGGCTTTGTTTTCTCGTGCCACCCTTCATCGCGTGTCCCCAAACCCTGGGGGAAAATGTGATTAAAACTTTCTTCTGATAGAAAAAGGGAAAAAAGTGCGCCAGACTTTATCGCCTCTATAAAAAATCAGTAACGTAATTTTTAACGAATTTTAACGGCCTGTGCAAAAAATGAATAAGTAAATAAAAGATAACAGTCAACTGCTTAAAAAATATAATTCCCTTAAAAAACATATACAGAACATTATCGCTTCACCCCTCTCCCCCCCCAAAAAAAAAGTAAGAAAAGAGAAAATGAAACTCACTGCTTGAAATTTATTCTCTGAAAAAGGTCTGCGCCAATATCGCCTCGCCCGTCGCCCTCGCCGCCTCCCTCCCCTGACACGTGACGGAACGAAGTTATGCGCCCTCCGCTGACCAGTCCATTTGCGCGATGGGCGGCGTGGGCGGCCGGAGATGACTCTTTCCCTTTTATCTTCCCTTTTATCCGTAATTCTGATACGGAGAGGCAAAGTTAAAGCAGGAAAGAGAATGCAGTTTTGAACGGATGATATTCACATGAAGTGTAAATTTAAATCATCATGTTTCATGAATAAATAAATTCGTAGATGTCTACAGTTTTGAGGCTGGCGATGAAGGGACTGGTTGCGTCCCTTAGAAAAAGCGTACCGTGGGTGTACACTAGCCCGATTGAATTATACCCTTGTTTTCGCGTCTGTAGGTGCGAACGGACTCTTCTCGCAAACCTGGAAAGCGCGATTTTGTGACTTCATTTACTCTGCCGACTCTCAATCATTTCCCTTGACTTATTCCCGGCTGCTGGCCTCGCGCGTAACGTGTGGCGCCATTACTCCCCTGGTTTTTAATTGCGTATATTGATAGACCCTGTCGTTCTTACTGTTTTTTTTTTTCATTCCTCTGTTGTTTACAAGGTGGAAGGGTATTTTTCGTGTCTTCTTTTTTCTGTGTTGGTTTCGTAATTATGGAGAAGTGAATTAGGACCTTATTGATGAGCTCTTCTGGTCGACGAAACGCCCGCCCGGTGTCCCGCCTAATCGGGTCTGCAACTAATTGCTTTTTGGCGAATTTTAGTTTGCTGATTCGGACGTCTGGTATGGTATGGGTGGGCGTCAGGTCTCCGTTTAGGGAGGGAGGGAGGGATGAAGGAATGAAGGAATGAAGAATGGGGGGAGGAGGGAGGAGGGAGGGAGGGAGGGAGGGAGGGAGGAGGAGGGAGGGAGTGGGAGGGAGAGGGAGGAGGAAGGAAGGAGAAGAAAGAAAGAAGGAAGGAAAAAGAAGAAGGAAGGAAGAGAAAGGAAGGAAGAAAGGAAGGAAGAAAGGAAGGAAGAAAGGAAGGAAGGAAGAAAGGAAGGAAGGAAGAAAGGAAGGAAAAAGGAAGGAAGAAAGGAAGGAAGAAAAAGGAAGGAAGAAGGAAGGAAGAAAGGAAGGAAGGAAGAAAGGAAGGAAGGAAGAAAGGAAGGAAGAAAGGAAGGAAGGAAGAAAGGAAGGAAGAAGGAAGGAAGGGAGAGAAAGAAGGAAGAAAGGAAGGAAGGAAGAAAGGAAGGAAGGAAGAAGGAAGAAGAAGGAAGGAAGGAAGGAAAGAAAGAAGGAAGGAAAGAAAGGAAGGAAGGAAGAAAGGAAGAAGGAAGAAAGGAAAGGAAGAAAGGAAGAAGAAGAAAGGAAGGAAGGAAGAAAGGAAGGAAGGAAGAAGGAAGAAAGAAGGAAGAAAAGAAAGGAAGAGGAAGAAGAAAGGAAGGAAGACAGGAAGGAAGGAAAAAGAAGAAGAAGGGAAGAAAGGGAAAGGAAGGAAGAAAGGAAGGAGAAAAAGAAAGGAAGAGAAGGAAGGAAAGAAGGAAAAGAAGGAAGGAAGGAAGAAAGGAAGAAAGGAAGGAAGGAAGAAAGGAAGGAAGGAAGAAAGGAAGGAAGGAAGAAAGAAGAAAGGAAGAAGGAAGAAAGGAAGGAAGGAAGAAAGGAAGGAAGGAGAAAGGAAGGAAGGAAGAAAGGAAGGAAGGAAGGAAGAAGAAAGGAAGGAAGGAAAAAAGGAAGGAAGGAAGAAAGAAAAGAAGGAAGGAAGAAGAGAAGGAAGGAAGGAAGGAAGAAAGGAAGAAGGAAGAAGGAAGAAGGAGGAAAGAGAAGAAGAAAGGAAGGAAGAAAGGAAGAAAGGAAGAGGAAGGAATGAAGGCAGAGAGAGAGAGAGAGAGAGAGAGAGAGAGGAGAAGAGAGAGAGAGAGAGAGAGAGAGAGAGAGAGAGAGAAGAGAGAGAGAAGAAGATAGTGCAGAGTGACAGATAGTGACAGATAGTGGCAGAGTAACAGAGTAACAGAGTAACAGAGTAACAGAGTAACAGAGTAACAGAGTAAACAGAGTAACAGAGTAACAGAGTAACAGGTAACAGGGTAACAGAGGTAACAGGGTAACAGGTAACAGGAGTAACAGTAACAGAGTAACAGAGAGAGAGAGAAGAGAGAGAGAGAGAGAGAGAGAGAGAGAGAGAGAGAGAGAGAAAGAGAAAGAGAAAGAGAAAGAGAAAAAGAGAGAGAGAGAGAGAGAGAGAAGAGAGAGAGAGGAGAGAGAGAGAACGAGAGAAGAGAGAGAGAAGAGAGAGAGAAAGCAGACAGACAGACAGACAGACAGAGCGAATATTTTTATGTTGCAATAATGGGGCAAAGGTTTGGCCAAGCATTTGAGAAACGGGCGGAGGGCGTGGGCGTGAGGTCGGATGGCGAGGCGGACCCAAGGATGGAGCTGAAGTTATGGCAGGAACGTGGGTCATTTGAGCGGAATGAGGAATCTTTTCCCTTCTTTTTTTGTCGGACTGGGAGGAGAGAAATCGGTGAGA